GGGCAATGTTGACAGTTTCATCAAATGTGATGTTCCCACTGTGTTTGATGTTCTTCTGCTTCTTGCGGTCCCTGGGCAGCTCCTTGAGGGCCTTGATGATCAGGGCAGAGGCCGACGGCAACACCTTGACCTGTGCCTGTCAGTTCTGGATAGTCAGTTTCACCGTGATCCACAGGCCCTTCCAGTCCCCTGTGACACTGGCAATGTGACCTCCCCCCTTCTTTGGAGACAGACCCAGGGGGCCAATCTGGGGGGCCAGGAGGACGTGGCACCTACCTCGCCGCCGGTGCACTGCAGGCACACGACTTTAATCTCATTGGGGTTGAACTTGGGTACATGGTGGAGGCTCCTGCTGTCAGGTGAACCTAGATTTGGGACAACTGAAGAAAGTTGCACTGTGGCCTCCTCTGAGTCAAAAACCAATAGCAGAATTCTAATTTCATTTCTTTTCTCCACATAGTTTTCAGTTATCACTCTTACTATACACATCATCATGTGTCAAAATTCCACCTATGGAAAAGGTTAGTTTTTGGTTTTCTATGTTGTTACAGTGGCCAATATGTCCATCTCTGTATCAATACTGTGTCGTGTTTTTTCTCTCAAAAATTTACTAATTTTACTGTGAAATCCAGAGTTATAAAGAGAGACACACAGGGGGAAGTATCTTCAATCTTCTGGTTTACTCCCCAAATGGTCACACTGGTCAGAGCTAGTTATCTCCGGAGCTGGGAGCCAGGAGCTTCTTTCACGTCTCCCATGGGGTGCAGGGGCCCAGTGCTCTCCCAGGCTGTCAGTAAAAAGCTGGTTCGGAAGTAGAGCAATTGGGACTCGAACCAGTACCCATACAGTACCGGCCTTACGTGTTATCTTGGCATAGTTCTTGACATTTGGTAGTATTAATTCCTTAACCTTATTCAAGAATACTTTGGTTATTCTTGGATCTTTGCTTCTCATATGTACCATTTCAAATCCTATAAAAAATCTTGTCAGATTTGCATTATCTCTAAGTTATCTGATAAAACTGACATATTTGCATCCTTTTCCTAGTCAAAGACAAGGTGCAACTTTTCATTTCCTAGATGTCTCTCCAGGTGTTTATTTCAATAATACTCTAATGTTTCCTCATGAAATACACCTATTTATTTTGAGTTGACATCTTAGGGATTGTGTGCTGTATTTGTGATCATAAAAAGTATATTTTAGAAATATTTTGTCTACCAGTGGTCCCTTCAATGCTGGTTTCCTCTCTGCTTTGCCTGGCTCTTCTTCATGGGGAAGCTTAGCATCATTCGGGAGGTTTTGGCCAAAAGTGAGCTTAACATATTTGGGCAGAAATGTCATTTTTCATAATGTTGAACAAAATAATATGTGAACAACTGAGATTTCAGTCAGGGCCACTACATGTAATAGTGAGACACTAGTAGTAAAATCAGAGCAGGAAGATGTTTAAAGGGGAACAGGTGACTGCCGGCTCACCCATCTGAAGGCTACACATTGCATATGAAAGATTTTTTTTGAGAGGTCAGTGTTATTAATGAAAAGATTTTATTTACTTTTATTGGAAAGGCAGATTCATAGAGAGGAGTGACAGAAAGATCTTCCATACACTGATTCAATCCCTTAAGTGGCTACAATGATTAGAGCTGAGCTGATCCCAAGCCAAGAGCCAGGAGCTTCTTCTGGGTATCCCACATGGGTGAAGGGTCCTAAAGTGCTTTGGACCATCCTCTGCTCCTTTCCCAGGCCATAAAGAGGGAGCTGGAAGTTGAACAGCCGGTATACAAAGGGGTACCCACAAGGGATCCTGGTGCATGCAAGGCGAAGACTTCAGTCACCAAGCTGTCACACCAGGCTCGGCAGTGCTATTTGTAAAGACGTTTCCTTGAGAGGAGTGGTGGAGAGTTCTAGCAAGCATTATTTGTAATGCTTCCAAACTAGAAACACCTGTGTGCATGTTAATGAATCAGTGTCAATGTCTTTCCTTAGAATGGAGAGCTCTTGCTTTACTCGAGAAGACATGACTAAAACCACTAGCTGTAATGTATAGTGACAAACTTGGACTTATTATCACTAGATTTAAAAAAAAATATGTCTACGAAAGGCAGAGTTAGAGCAAGTGATGTGCCAATCTTCCTGGGCTGCTTTGCTCCCCAAATGGCTGCGATGGGCTATCCTGGGCCAGGCATGTGCCTAGGCTGCCTGTCGGTCTCCCCTGTGGGTGGGAAGGGTCCAGGGCCAGGGTTCTCTTCTGCTGCCCTCCCAGGTGCATTAGCAGGGAACTAGTGGGAAGCAGGGATGCTAGCCTTAAAGGCAACATCACGACCCGCTGTGTCACAGTGCTGGCCCTGTTGATCATCCTGACAGATACATATGTCCTTACACAGTCCGTGAAAGTTTCAACTCGAATGTGGGTTATTCGAATCATTCAAATGCAGTTATAGGACCGCCACATAGGAATGCTGGGAAAGATTTTAATTTCTTGAAATGGTTTTCTTTCTTCTCTGAACTTTGGGGTCATTATTTTGAAGGCGACTGGAAGCCATTGCTTGAGTTAGTGACTGCGTTATCGGCACTGTGACTGAGATCTCCCAGACGCTCCTCTTGATCAGCTCTGTTCCTCTTCACAGAGTCAGAGTTCCGCACTGGGCGCACTCAAGGCCGACACTGTCCACACAGAGGAAGAGATTTTTCCATGCAGTTGACAAAACTGGCTCTAAAATCTCCAGATTCTGATTTTCAGACAGACACTTGCCGCAGATGGGTCACTAAAATAATGTAACTAGGTTTTTTGGTAAATGTTTTATATAGTAACATTGTCCTAAGGTTATACGCAAATTAAGAATCAATGCTTCCGTCATAGTGCTCATCTCAGAAACTGATGATGGTAATGACACTTTCCCCTCTAGATTTCCCTTCATCTTAAACCACACACAAAGTCAGCCCTGTGATTTTAACTAAATTTAGCATTTGGCCAAAGTTGTTACACTCAGTTGGGATGCTTTTTGTTTGCAAGTAAAGGAATAATATCAGTAAAGTGGCTTAGCATTTCTCCCGACAAGAAAAAACCTACAAATGGGCTGAAGTTGACCCTGGCAATTCGAAATACCCTTTTCTTGCCCAGTTACAACAACGGAAGGCCACCTTTGGCATCTCTCCCCCAACTCCCTTTTCTCTTTTAATTGAGGACATTTTTTCCCCAAATATTTTCCAAAGAACATCATCTTTTGTGTCACTGGTCATCTGGGCCACAGCATCAAAGTAGCAAAAAGGTATTAACTCCTCTCATTGACAAGAAGGATAAAATTTGTCTTCAAACTAACCATTATAAAGGTCTTTACAGAACAAATCCAGTGATGCAGAAAGATGTCAGTGGTGGTGGGAACGAGGAACAATTTGGGGACTTTGTTCCTTAAGCACAGGGGAGCAAAGGGAGGCTCCACATAAGAAAGCAGTTGGGGCCAGGTGTTTGGCACAGAGGTTGAGACATTGTTCAGGGAGCTTCATGCCGCGCCGAGCCCTGCCCCAGTCTGGATTCCTGTGTTCTGCAGATGGGCACCCTGGAAAGCTGGGTCCCTGCCAGCCATTTGGGAGACCCTGATGGAGTGTTCAGGGCTTTTGGCTTTGCCCACTCAGCTCGTGCCATCTGGGGAATGAACCACTAGGTGTGTGATCTATTTGTCTGCTAAGTAACTTAAAAATAAATAGGCATAAAAAAGCAAGCTGGAAACGTGGCTAGAAAGCAGTAACATTTCCCGGGTGGACGACCCTCTAATGACAATGATCACGCTGGTCGAGGTGACATGCCAGGCACTGTGCTATGTATTTACACGTCAGATTATTTCACAGCCCACCCAGGAAGCCGCGGGTCTGTTTTTAGAACGGCAGTGCTGCAGTGACGGGCACTGCTCCCTGAACTCTTATCCCGTTCCAATTCCCAGTGTTTCCAGGCCTACTACCTCCCAGCTAAGTGCTTGGAGAGTTGAGCTGCTTCATCTGTGAAAGGCAGCACTCCACTTCCGCGAGGTGCTAATGCCAGGGAGACGATGCGCAGGGACAAACAGCAGGTCTGCATTTTCGCCGTGGAGTTTCTCTCACCACATTGTACTTTTCAGTCACCTGTCTTCGCTCCGAGAATAAGATTCTCCAAAGCAGTCGTTCTCAAAGCTTTTTTGTTGTTGTTTTTGGCTCCAGGATCCCTTTTTTCAAAAGTTACGTGGGCTCTGAGTTTATTTGTATGCAGTTTATGTATGTAAGTATGTATGTAGCGAAGCTAAAACTGAGAAACGCTTGAAACAGCAACAAGCACTCGCCCTCTAAGCTGTGGCGTTGTCAAACGCCTGTATCCCCCCGGAAAAATGTACCCTGGTGAGGACACGAACGTGGACAAGGCAAACGGGCCACGAGCACCCAGGACTGACCTCCTCGGGACCCCCACTTGGAGGGTGCTGCCGTGGGGCACAGCTCCTGCCCCGGGAGCCGGCGCTCAGCGCGGGGACAGGCTGGAGGGGCGAGGGCGCAGAGCCGGACCACACGGCTGAGCGGCCGGGCGTCCCGAGCCCACCGAGCCCCGAGAGCGTCCAGGCCGCCTCTCCACCGACTCTCGGCTTCCATGGCAACCGGGCGCGCGTCCTGACGTCACCCTGACGTCGCCCGGCCACCCTTTCGGACCAACCCATCGGCTCAGGGAGCTTCTGGAGCGGGGGAATCGAGGGACCGTGAAATGAAAAGGCCGCCGAGCTCCTTAGATTCCCTTTTAGCTACTTATTTTGAAGGACACACTTCCTTTTTCCTTTTAGCAAAGGGCCCCTGCGGGGGCGTCTCGTCGTCCTCGCTCCGACGCCCCCGCGTCTCCCCGTCTCCCCCTCTGTCCCGGGATGGTCCGGCCCGCCGGGGGGGCGGGGGGAAGCTGCCGTCCCGGCCGGCTGGCGCGGGCACGCGGGCGCGCGCCCGACGTGACGCGCGGGGGGCGTGGCCCGGGCCGAGGGGCGGGGAGGCGGGCAACATGGCGCCCGGGGAGTGACTGCCCTGATCCCTCCGGCGGCTTCCTGGACGGCCGGGCCGGGAGTCCAGCCCCCGCGCTGTCCTTACCTCCCCTTCTCCGCCCCTGGGGGCCTCCTCCTTCCCTTCCTCGTCGCACCTCGGGGGACGGGGGGAGGGGGCGGGCCTGGTTCCTGGGACGCCATGTCCGACTCTGAGGAGGAGAGCCAGGACCGGCAACTGAAACTCGTCGTGCTGGGGGACGGCACCTCCGGGAAGGTCAGTCCTCGAGCGGGCCCGCGGGCCCGGCGCCCCGCAGCCTGCTCCCTGCCGCCCGCCCGGCGGGGCCCCGAGTGCTGCGAGCCCCGGGGCCGCTGGGCCTGGTGGTGGCCTGAGGCCGGACTCCCCAGTGCGCGCTGTCCAGCTCCTCACACCCCGGAAAAGAAAATAAAATTAAAAAAAAAAAAAAAAAAAGAAATGGAAAAGGCAGTTCCCAGCGTCCAGCCCGGATCGCGGCCTCGCTTCCTCTGGACTGGATGGCGACCTCGCCTCCTCCTGGGAGCCGTCCAGCCCCTGTCCTCGGGGGACCTGCCGGCTAGTGCCAGGGCATCCTACCTCCTCCTCCTGCACTTTGCTGCTCCCCTCCCTCTCCCGCGACGGACGGCCCTCCTGCGGCCCCGTTGCCCCGGGACGCATCCCCGAGCTGGGCTCTGCAACCGGGTTCCCTGCGGGCGAGCACCGAGGGCTCCCGGCACTTAGCGCGCGGGTCAGCGGAGGGCAGATGGCTCAGCTATTTGTGCGTCATCTGGGAGATGAGTATTGATAGGGGTCACCGCCAAGGGCGAAATGTGAAAATACACATTCAGGGTGGAAATACACACAGAGCTTTTAGAACTCAGGAACACCCGAGTTGCTGATTTAGTGTCATACCTGTTCATCATCTCTGACCACCCCCGTCCCCGTCCTCCCCAGCACACACACAGCACCTGGCAGGCCAGCGTTGAAGGCAGTGGGCTGGGTGTTGCGGGGCAGAGCTGCCAACTTCTCCTCGTGGGGGATGAATGGATGAATGCGTGTGCAACGCCTGCAATGCCATGACCATGGCCCAAGACCTCCCCTGGCTCTCACAGGGGCCTGGGGCGCCTGCACACCTGTCGCTCGGTCGGAGGCGCCAGCCCTGCCGGTCTTCTGTTCCCGCGTGGGCTGGTGTCTGTGCTTACAGCTTCAAATTCCCGAGAAAGCTGCCACTCCTGTGGGAGTATGCTGTTAGCCTCTGGCCTCCTGGGTACAGCCTACCCTGCCGCGTGCTTTTGAACGTGCTTGCAAGGCGAGAACTTGAGGTCACCGAGTTTTTGTGCACAAAAAACGTTTTGGAAGAGCAGATTATTACGTGATATTTAATATCTTCAATGAAAGTCATGACCCTAAGTCATCACTTAGGGTCTTTTGAGGACCACCTAAATCTGATTGTGGCATTTGGTAACTGGCTTGTTTCTAATTTAAAAATGGTAACGGTTCATATCACATTGATGTGTTTAAGAAAGCCCAACAGTTGCCCATTATCCCCCATGTTTCTGTAGTTCTTTACACGATTGTTCATTTTTCTCCCAGTATTTATCTGCTGCAGATGCATTAGTTGAGCTTTGTGAATTATTTTGCATCCAGGCTTTTGTCTACACGATCATGCATGTTTTTCTCCTTGTTGCTAATTTAGTATTGAATAATCGTGATTTTTATCTCTGCGATTCTAATTTTTTTTTTTTGTATTGCAAAGAATACTTGTTCTGTTTTTGTGGTACTCTGACTTCATCTTAATTAAATACGCTTCTTCGGAAGCGTCCCAGCTTTTTCTGTCAGGAACTTTCCATGTGAGTATCTGGAACTTAGCTGTGCTTTTTCCCCACCTCCTGTTCAGCCTGCTAATTATTGGCAGCTGCCAACATTGCTTTGCTGTCTGCTGTCCTTTTCTGTTAGGAACTCAGTCTCTCTCATCGCTGTTTGTATTCTGAGCTGACGCTGGCTCAGTTGTTTTAGCGTTAGTTTTTCCTGCTGTCTCTCTGGGCATCTTCACACACTGAGAGAAGCAGCAGTGTGCAGGTTGAGATAACCGCTAATAGTTTCTCCAAGAGCAATTTAGCTCCTCCCTCTAGTAGCATCTTGCTATTTCATCTGTGAATCATACTATTGATTTTTATTACATATTTTCTTAAATTTTTGAAGCAAATATTTTAGGTGTGTTTTTTCATGTTATTAAGGGTACTATGATTAAAAGTGTTACCATGCCTCTAAGCAAAAAGCGTATAATCAGATAAAAATGTTTTAGATGTGGTAGCTGATTGTGCGCTTCATAAATCTTTAGGAAGGTTATTTATACAATGATGTGTGAGGAATTAACTGAACCTGAGAGGGAATGAAGTCTAGATAATTGCAGAGGAAGTGCTTCCCACGGATTAAATTGATTCTCTGTTTAATTTTTGCAGGGAGATGTCAGGAGGTGATACAATGTAAAAACCTGTCTGACTGCTTTGTGTGTTCCCACTGACTTACGTTTTTGACAACTTATACGCTCTTCCAGTTGAAAATCCTAGCTTGCTTTCTCAGCAGAGTGAAGGCAGGGCTTTCAGAACCTGGAAGTCTCAAGTCCGAGAAAGGAAACTTAAATTTTCTCAATATTTGAGAATCATAAAGAGAAAATTGCCTGAAATTACATTATTCTGATGTTACTTGTGCCAATTTGTCTTCAGGTGTTTCATTTATCCATGAGTGTATTGAACATTCGGAAATATTTGAATTGTGTGTGTGTGTGGAACTTTGAGCCTTTTCTTAATTTGTGATGTAAGCTAAATGACTTCAGTGACGTCGTTAAGGCTAAATGAAAACCAAACGCCTTTCAGGAAAGGAGTGTTTCCCCTTTTGATCTCTCAGTTTTGATATTGTTACTTCAATGTGGATATAATAGGTGAAGCGAGTTTTCCCCAAGTGTCTAGTAGTGCATCTTTCATATTTATTCCTCAATAAATGTTTGACCAACTGTCTGAAACTCTTGCTGGCACTAGTATTCAGGCATTACATTTGGTGTTAGCATGTGCAAACTGCCATTTGTGTGAAAGATCTCGGTTGTGGAAAATGAATCTTAAATCATCTTGTTCAAGGAAGTTGGAGTTTGGCAAAGTTTTCTTGTGCACTTCTCTGCTCACATCATAATTAACTATAATAAGCTATTTTGGAAATTTTATCTTTTCATTATTTTAATAGTTGACAGCTAATACTGATTTTGCAAATAAAAATGAGCTGTTTTCCTCTAACTGTAGTAGAAGTCTTTACTGAAGACAAAGTTCAGTGAAGCTGTCTTTCTTTAATCTTGGGGGATGTTTACAAATAAGAATAGTGCATTGAAAATGTTCAAGATGTCTGAGTTACTTACATTTTTTGCCAGAATGATTTATTCTTTTACTTGGATAAGAAGTAGTATTCTAAAAGTTCCAGAGTTTTTGAATAAAACTTTTTAGTTTTTGTTCAAAAAAGTAGATGTATATCTGTTCTGGTTATTAAATCTTGTGACTTTTTTTACAGTTCTTAGGTGAAGAATGTTTATTTTGCCTGTTTTATACTAATTTAAAAATACCTTTTAAAAACTTAAGCTTATATATTATTAGATTAATTCTGTAGTATTCTCTTCATGTAACATTTTTAGAGTATATGATGCTTAAGATGCTTTTCTTATTAGAAAAACAAAAGCAGACATTTTATCAGCAGGCTTTCCTGCCCAGTGGACACTGCTCAGTGTTAGAGCAGGGCCTGGCTACCTACGACCGAGACGTCAGTTCTCTGAAATCTACATTGGACTGATGCAAGATTCAGATCTTTAGTCACTTCTTTTTTCCATTGATGGCTCTCAAGATCTAATTTCCAGCGAGAAGTATCTTCATAATCAGAGGATTTAAAAAGATCTAACGATAGGATTAGTCCGCTGTCTCCACTAAAAGCTGCTGGCAAGTGCAGTTTACCTGGTGATGCGACTCGCTGCCTCTGCTTGTTAATGATGAGGACTGCTTAAAATCACTTGTTGGATTAAATGGAGTATAAATGTTAAGATCAGTCAGGATTTAGTAGTGATCTTGTGTTTGCATTTCTTAAACAGGGGAACTAACTTTAATATTCTCTGTATAATTTTTTAGACCTCCTTAGCTACTTGTTTCGCTCAAGAAATTTTTGGGAAACAGTACAAACAAACTATAGGATTGGATTTCTTTTTGAGAAGGATAACATTGCCAGGTAAGAGACTAGAAATTCTTAATATTGAAGGTTGTACCAATGGTATCGTAAGAGGCGTAATCATAAATGCATCACCTACATTTCGAGGCTGTTGTCAAGTGACGCTGTGTATTTTAAGGAGGTTACCGTTTCTCCGCGATCACCCTGAAGGCCTGTTGTCCGTGGGCGTGAGAAAAAGTGCGCATGTGCCCGCTTCGTTCCTGCTGCTGGCCAGTTTACATTTTTTGAGAGTAAATAATAGTTGCTTATAATAGTCAAAGAGTTAAAAAAATTAAATGTTATCCATCTGCCAGCAAACGTTAGCTAAATATGAAAAGATTGGGAAGGATTATTTTAAAAAATATGCTTTTGGTTAGCCCCTGCTTCGGTGTTTTGTTTGAGTGTTGGAATAGAAACCTAATGTAGCCGTGGAACTCTGCTCCGACATGTGAATGCTGTTCTATGCAGGGCAGCGTGAAATTGCTGGCGTTTAATAGACCACTAACATTTAGGGTCCCTAGGCACTCGTAAAAATACAGTTTGAGCATTCAAGATGTTTCAGTTCACCATGCAAAGAAACTATTTAGATGCCAGTTGCAGCACATTTTGTGGGAAATACGGGGAAATAATAACAAAAAAAGAGTAGCTTATGTTTTAAGCCACCTTTGGAACAATGAGGCTTTAAAATACTCTGTCCATTCACTTTTAGCAGTTATACTAATGTTTAAAGTATTTTGTTAAAAGCAGTTTATCTTGGTTGACTTTAAAAATCGTCTGTCCCTTCCTCTGTGTGGAAACACATTTGAATAAATCGGTTGCAAGTATCATGTAAGACTCCTTCAGTGGAATATTACGGATGCAGTTGGAAGTGGTTTGGTCAATTCTGGGACAGCCTGTTAGTTCCGCGTGAAAGTCTGTGATCATCTGACACGGAAACTCGTGCTTATGGGGGGTGTTCTTCATTCTCTTATCGACAGACCTGTATTTTGAAATGGTTTGTATTTGGTTAATAAACTGTAGGTTAGAAGGTACTGCCTGAAGAGAATTCCAATCTCTGCATTACTGGTTTATGGTTTAGAGAAAGGTTTAGTGAGAAACATGCATTTTGTTTCATTTGTATTTTCTCTTAACATATTCAAAACTGAAAATTTCACTTTTATTATTCTGCTATGGGTAGGATAATGTTACATTCAGGATATTTGCAGCAGTTACTAGCAGAATTCATGTAATAACACATCATACATATGCTCAAAACTTTTGCAACAATTATTTTATAGATGGTAGTTACAGAAAGAACTTCAATATAGTGTTTAGTTATTAGCTATGTTTTCCTGAAGCTAATAGCAAAAGCACCAAATTTTGGTCTTAAGTTTTCTAATTTTCTAGTTAAAAGGTTTAAACAAAGAAGCAACCCCCTATTTAAATATTGAAAATGTAGAATCATTTTGGCCAGTCTGCATTTTTATATATGTGATATTTATAATGATTTTTGATCTGTTGCACAGTAACATTGATTTAAAAATTTTATTACTTTGTTAACCTACTTGTTATTCTTGAGGCTCAGATTTACAGTGTAGCATTGAGACTTAGAAACTACTTAGCTTAAAAAATGACATTAAAAATGAGATTTCTTAATCTGTATTATTTTTCTTGATTAGGCTTTTCTTTTGATGGGCAGAATTCCAGAATTTTTTTTTATAGTTTAAAAGGATTTTATGCTCCCTAATGAGCTTAAAATTATGATAGGAATTTCAGTATTAAAATGTTGTTTTAGTTTATCTTGATTTTATATCATTAATAGGTATATTAAGAAATGAAGTGAATAAATTGTAAATCATAGTATATTCTTTATGTATCTTAACCCTAATTTTAATTCATTATAATTGTCAAATGTAGGAAAACTAATATTTGTATCACTTGCTAAAAAGAATAGAGCAGCATCATTCAGTTTGCAGTAAGCATAGAAGGTCAGTGCAGTGTTTGTTATTCCTCTAGGAAGCCTTCTGAGCAGACACATTGTTAGGGCTGCACAGCTCCTGTTCTTGTATGCACATTCTCATGCGAGCTTTCAAGGCCGTTCCTCTGCAGGTACTCATCCATGTTAGTATACTTCATGATCCGGTGTGCTGTATAGTCTGGACGCAGCCACTGTGCAGGTTTCCCTGCTCCAAACAGGGGATCTGTCAGTCAGAGATTCTGCTGATAGAGCCTCTTAAGAGCGCTAGTCAAATACACTCAGGAAGCTGTGGGACAGCCCGTACACAGCGCTCCACTGTGAAAAGCATTTCTGAGTCTTCAGGAAGAGAAGTGGGCAGACGTGTGCTTTCACTCCATCTGCACTCTGCAGTGCTTTAAGTAAGGTTAGCCAAGGCACCAAGTGTGCTTTTACAAGGTTCAGTCCTCCTGCTGGCTTTGATTCATACCAAAAGCAACTTACCTGTATTATGTCACTTCATTTGTTTTGTTTTTTCTCCTAGTTACATGTCGTTTCTTAGAGAGGAATAGGAATTCAGTAGTGATTTGCATTTGGGATTATATTGCTGACAGTTTCCTTAAAGTTCTTCATTAGATTTATATTAGATGGAGTCTAGATTTTTTTAAAGGTTTATTTTATTTCTATTGCAAAGTCAGATATACAGGGAGGAAGACAGAGCAGAAAATCTTCCCTCTGATGATTTACTCCCCTAGTGGCCGCAATGGTCAGAGCTGTGCCAACCTGAAGCCAGGAGCCCGGAGCCTCTTCTGGGCCTCCCACGCGGGTGCAAGGTCCCAAGGCTTTGGGCTATCCTTGACTGCTTTCCAGGCTATAAACAGGAAGTTAGATGGGAAGGGGGGCTGCCAGGATTAGAACCAGTGCCCATATGGGATCTTGGGCGTGCAAGGCAAGGACTTTAGCCGCTAGGGTACTGTACTGGCCCCGAGTCTAGATTAAAAAAAAATGGGAGTATTGGTTACCTGAATATGCTAAAACTTTACAAATCTGTCGTCATGGAAACACATTGTAACCTTGGTGTGTTTACACCTGCAGAAATAAAAATGAGTGTGGATTTGAAACGTATGTGTGTGATTTCATTGCTCAAATAGGGCATTACCATTTTAGTTTTAGTTTCATGTATTCATAAGCCTGCAATTCATGTGTAGGAGTTAAAATATACTTGTAGACATATGAAATAATTATGAAATTAGTATTTGTTGAAGCCATATTAATAGCTTGTTTTTGACTAGCATTCTGTATTAGTAGATTGTCAGTGATGTGTACTTTTTATTTTTGAGACCCTAGAATCTATGAATTAAAAATACAGGCTACCAGCAAAAAGGCGTCGATTTTTTAAAGCACTCTTGAGGCATCAATGTAAGCCTCTCCTATGGGAGATAATAGAGTGGATGCTTTAGAGACTTAAAATTGTTATAGTCAGGATTGCAAGCAATAAGATTATGTTCTCAAAGTTATGCAGTGTTCACAATACCCAATTCAGATAGGATCAGAATATCAGAATTGAAAAGGAAAAAGAAAGGAAAGCTTTGTATTTCTGAATGTGATGTTAAGTGATAAGGGACTATTATTGGCTTTGGGAAGTAGGATTAAAAATATTTTAATAATTATTAAATGTTGCCTAAAATCTTACTCTCTAAAAGTTGATATTGTTGAGCACTTTGTTTTGAAAAAAATAAATGACTAGGGAATTTTGCAAGTTAGATGAATACCCAGGGGCTTTTGAAACTGGATTATGTATCTGTTGGGATGACTAGCTGTTTCTTACCTGCTTAATCTGAGATGACATTATAGGAGAATGATTTCAGCTTTGCATATCAAGAAATAGAGGTTTGGTGAAATTTGGTCTACACAGTTGTGGGATAAATCACAGACAGTGACCGTCGCTGTTGGTGTTCACCGGGATCTAGGGACGGTAAGTGGTCGTTGCTGTCTGAGCCCAGGAAGTGTGAGGCGGGGAAGGATGGACTTCAGCAGCTTGCTAATGCTGACAGCAGCTCTTCCCGAGGAAGTGCTCTGCGCAGTGGCAGAGCGAGCAGGCACCCAGACAGTGGCAAGGTTGTGATACCAACCACCGAACTGGGAGTTGAGAGGAAAGCTGGCTGATTTACTACGTTATTGTGTTTTCCAGTTGCATAAATAGCGTGACTAACATTCTCTGTCTTTGGTGTTTCATGTTGGTGATAAAATTCATGTTACTATAATGCTACTTTGTCTTTGAAATGAGATCATTTTTTCAGTTTCTAAGTTTTTATTTTGACTTTTCCTGATTTGTAGATCATTCATAAGGTGCTAATTGATATTTTGTAGAGAACTGTGTAATTTTGCGAGCAGAGATAGTTGGAAATATTAAACTAAAGTATTGAGTTTTATAACTTCATTGTTACTTGGGATGATAAAAGAGAAAATGGCTTATGTCATAAGTTTTTCTATGAAACATTTTGTAAAATTCACAAACAAGTTTTAAAGCTGGCTTTTTTTTGTGCTAAATTGCTGTTCGAGTGTGGGAGATGATTTTGCTGCCTGTGAAGGCTTTAGAGTGCGTCCGGTTTGTTTCAGCACGTCTGATTTAATCATGTATGAGTGCATTGCAATCGTTGCTGATAACCTGGGCGTGTATCCTTTGTGTTTAGAGTAGAGATATCATATTTGTGTATATTTTGTGGGTTAAACTTGATATAAGATTCATTTTTTTACATTATTTTTTTGCTTTAGTATTTGTTACAAAGGTGAGGAGGTTGCACAGACTCGTGTGGGCCTCTGGTTAAAAAGGAGAGGGTGAGAGTTGGGGAGAAGATAAGTGAGAAAAATAGAAACATTTGATTTTTTATTATATTTAGTATTACATGTCATAAGTAACTTTCAAGCTAAAAAAGACATCTTCCTTGAGTTAAAATCATGAGTGCAGTTTTGTGGAGCTTTGGAACCCTGAGGGTTTAGAATCCATGGCAATGCTCAGATTGATTGGCTAAGTTAAATACAGCTTCATGTTTAAAGTTTATTTGTCACACACACCATTTGTTTTGTTCTGCCCATGGAGAAAAGAACTTTCTAGACTAAAGTTTGTAAATCAGAGTTCCTTTATTTTCTTTTGAAGGTGATTATAGTGGTACTAGAGAAATGGGTTAAAGAATAAATATATATTTCCCACTGTCTTTTGTTATGACAATATTGCTTTTGCAATTACAAATATCTGGCCATATCAGCTTGTAGAATAAAAACAATATTCGGTTCACAGTTATCGTTGTGACTTAGTATCCTATGAAAAGTGTTCATTTATTATATTGTTTTTTAATATTATTTTGTATTCTTAATGTTCTAGGAAACCTGAATGTTACCCTGCAGATTTGGGATGTAGGAGGGCAGACGATAGGAGGCAAGATGCTGGATAAATACATCTACGGAGCCCAGGTAGGACCCACATCCACCGACGTGTGGGTGTGCACACCAGCTCAGTCTGAGTGGGACCCACATCCACCGGCGTGTGGGTGTGCACACCAGCTCAGTCTGAGTGGGACCCACATCCACCGGCGTGTGGGTGTGCACACCAGCTCAGTCTGAGTGGGACCCACATCCACCGGCGTGTGGGTGTGCACATCAGCTCAGTCTGAATAGGTTTGTTGTGAGTCTGTTGTGAGTTACGTAGAGTCTGTTTTAGATTTATGTTGATATTTGGCTTCTCTCTCCTTAGAGAGCTTGTGTGGTGGAACTGAAAAGCTCTCCACAGCTTTGCTGTGTCTTAGGCTATTGATTACAGTTGTCAGCAGTTGGACACATGCAGGGATAAATGGTATTTTGATATTTACTAGCTGACTTGGTTGCAGTGATTAATTTCTTGTAAACCGGTTGAAGGGGTGAATGTTGTACAGGGGGTGAAGCCACGACTTGGGCTCCCTGCCTCTCAAGCCCCACCTCTCCATCCCTGAAGACAGCAGGTGCTAGCTCCAGTATTTGGGTCCCTGTCACCCAGATGGGTCCGCTGGGTGCACTTCTGGGCTCCGGCCGGTTGGGGGAAGAACCAGCACATGTAAGATCTGTCCCTACCCCAGCTGTCTCTCTGCCTTTCAGAAAAGTACAAAATAAACACTCTGGAAATGAACTTACTAAAAATATCCAAGGGGAAGATACTGTTTTTATGTGCAAGAATGAAAACTGGAGCAGGAGCTGTGTCTCAGTGGATTAAACTGCCACCGAAGGGCAGGCCTGATTGGTACACTTCTGATCCAGTGTCCTGCTGCTGTGCTTGGGAAGGATGTGGAGGATGGCACAAGTATTTGAGATCCTGCCACCTGCATCAGGAACCCACATGGGGCTTCTGGCTCCTGGCACAGCCATTGTTTTTGCAGCCACTGGGCTGTGAGCCACTAGATTGCAGATTTCTTTTTCTGTCTGTCTCTGTCTCCCTCTTACTCTGCCTTTCAAGTCAATTTTCTAAAGCATTTTTTTAAAAATTATTTTTATTGGAAAGGCAGAGTTACAGCAAGGAGAATCAGAGCAAGATCCTCTACCTGCTGGTTCACTCTCCAGGTGGCTGCAATGGCCGGTGCTAATCTAATCTGAAGCCAGTAGCCAGGAGCTTCTTCTGGGTCTCCCACGTGGGTGCAGGGTCCCAAGGCTTTGGGCCATACTCTGCTGCTTTCCCAGGTCACAAGCAGGGAGCTGGATGGGAAGTGGAGCATCCAGGATACAATCTGGCATCCATATTGGATCTTTGTGTATTCAAGGTGAGGACTTTAGCCACTAAGCTACCATGCTGGATCCTTTTTAAGTGTATTTAAAAAATTTAAATGAGAAAAGCCACAAGCTAGCTGTATGTATATCAGATTTCATGTCATATTTGATCTCATGACTATATGAGACATATCTAATAGTATATTTTCAAAAGAAAATATACATTGCCAGAAATACAATTGCATAAAAATTCCTGTGTAACATAAGCTTATGTTAACATGATTTATATATTTAAAAATGAAATTACTATATAGTTAGAGAAGATGCATGCTAGTAATGTGCTTTAAACATTACCGTTATATATCTGAACACATGTAGTGAAAAATAAGAATTTCCTTTTTAATGCTTTGGCAGATTGCTTTTGGTTAATATAGATTTTGGAAATACAGCGATGCCGGTGAATGTAGTCGCCTGATGCGAGAGTTCTGTGTGATGCCGCTCATCATATGATGACATCGTATGATGTGAATTGTGCCCTGTAGGTGAAGCTGATTGAGGGGCCTTTCCCTTGTATTGGATTTTGCTTCTACTTTTGGTTACAGAGTATCTGCCACAAGGTCATGAAACATTATGAAGATAGGATTACAAGTGTTCACTTACTTAGTCTTTTAGTTTTGTGTTTTTGCTGTGGAGCCGTGTCTCTCCTGAAGAGGAATCTGCAGCGCTGAGTTAGGGAATGTAAGCATCCCACTGTACAAAGTTTGGTTCTTGTGAAATACCTTTCTCTTAGTTTGGGAATGAAACTAAGTTCTGACATACTTTATAAAATAGAAAAGGAGGGTAAATAAGGCCAGTGTGGTCTGGGTCATGTAGAGAGGTTCCAGAAGTTTGCTTTTTTGTATTAGTGCTACTTGTATTTGTTTCTCAAAACTGTTCATTATTTTCTGTTTTATTCTTTATCTCCTCTACATATTTCTCTTCATTTCTTCCATTTGTGATCAAATGACAATTAATCTCATATTTGTGTGTCTGGCTTTTGTTGTGCAATTTTAGCCAGTTTAAAGTGTATACTAAGTTATTTTGATGGTCAGAGATTTGTAGGAAATTCCAGTCCTTGTTTTACTTGTGTATTGGATTAAATGAGATTTAAAAATAACACTGTCTTCTCCATAGAGCCTGTCTTCAGGCCAGATACAGGAGTTAAATTAGGTTCATGTCTAGTGATGTTCGGCTTTGCATATGGCTGACAGGTGCGGGAGTTAGTGAAGAACAAGGGGACTTTATGTATTTCATCGTGAGTAGTAAGATCAAATGCAAGGAGGGGAATATAATGTTCATTAATTGGATTTTCTGAATTGTACCTCATTGCATATTGTTAAAGATTTATTATTTAATTCATTTAAATTATTTGAAGTGTATTACTGTTAAATAAAAATGAATATTAATGTGGAAATCACATAATAAAATTATTTCTGTGATTGCTATAAAAATATAGTTTTATTAAATAATAGCAAAGTGCAGTTTTTTTTTGGATAGGATATTTCTGAGAATTTTTGGAATGTGCTCATGAATTTGTCCTGATAAACTGGGAATTTTGAGATGATAAAATGAAATGTAATAAATTGACGCTGCTGGAATAACTTTGCTTTTCAGAGAGTCCCGGTCAAGTGATCATAGAGCACATTTACCAGCAGTTGTTTTGTGTAAATTTTATATCGAGGCAAAAGAAGCTCTAATTTATTATTGACTACCATAAATTGGGAGATGTGTTAACTTCTTGAAAACCTAACCCTGCTTTCATATACTTAATGACTTGAGATTCCCAAATCCTCGTTACCCCAGTACCCTGGGCGGTATTGTGTCTGCAGTCGTGGGTGCTTTGTTTCACTCCTTTCACAAACACTTTGGATTTGAGTATACATGCTACAGAGCAGAGATCTTCTACAGATCATGTTTTGATGAGCTATTTCAGCAAATCAGTTTAATGTGTTATTTAGGGTCTTGTTTTAGGTTCTCACACTTATTTTCTATAGAAATAATTATGTAACAATTATATAATATAATCATATAATAATTATGAAACTTATGCATTTCTTAACATTCAGGAAGAAATGCATTTGTCAGCTGAGAGTTAACTTAAATGCAAATAAAACTGATCATTTTATCCTCTTCACCCCCCTCCCCCCACAAGGTAGCATTAAGCTGTAGCAATAGGCTATTGAATAGCTTTGGTTGAAACCAAGTTTAATTGACACCCAAAGAAAGAATTAGTGAAGTATTTTAACAAGGAGTAGTTCCAAGAATTGAAAATATGTTCTAGTTAAATTCCAAGATTTTAAATTAACTTTAAAATTTCCAGGAGTCTTCAGAAAGATGTTATAGGCTATTTTTCATAGTGGTTAGGAGCAAACACACAGTGCATAGTGTTTAGTGCCCTGTAACCTGCGGCTAACAGAGGCTAATACCAAACCTCAGAGAGGGGCTGGATGTTTCATTTTGTAGCTCTTTCCGTCCTGGAATCTAAGTGGTTTGCAAACACTGCCCCACTGAGCATAAACTCAATGAAATGTAGTCATTTGTGAGGTAGAACACAACTAGTATTATGGGCCGGTAGCCCACACAGATGAGCCCGTCTGTTAACCACCAGTTAGAGTCTGATGCCTTATGATGGGGCAGAGAGCAGATTTCAAAACTGGATGCTCTTACTGTAAATATCTTTACTATGAATATTTTAGTTGCATCTTTGCAAACTTAGAATCATTTATATTACAGGCCTCATTACATTAGTATTTCTTATGTTAAACAGCAAAGAGTAAGTCCTAACTATTGTATAATCTGATTTAATTTCCCTCAATGTGACTGAGAGCTAAATTAGATTATTTTGTAAGTCAGAGAAAAAAAAAACCCTCATATTTTTTTAAGTAAGTGAACCCTGTAATTTTTGAGGTTAAATATTGTGTGTGTGTGTGTGTATGTACTTCGTGTGTGCTGTTTAACTTCTGTTAAATTGTGGGAATAAATTTGCTCGCAATCTTAAAGACTGTTGAGTATTGTCAGCAGTGCTCCTAGGGAGTCCTTTGAAATTATATCCTTTGGGTTTGGTGACAAGTGGTGCTTATTGGATATGCTGAAAGGTGAAATAGGAACAAAACTACTGTAAAAGTAACTTTATGTAATACTGAAAAATTTGAAGTTTGTAAAGGGAAGTTGTGGTAGTATTCTGGATCTTAGAAATATTAAGTTCAGGCATTAAAAATGGAGAAAAATTTTGAGGAAGAATTTGAAGATAGAAAAAGGACTCATTAAATTTGAAACCTGAGTGCCAAAGGCCTTGTAAAACTGTCTGGAAGAAAAGGAAGAGTTTGAGGGCAGATTGGGAAGTGGAAGCCCAGGGTGGTGGAGACATGAGGGAGAGATAGGTGGCCGATAGATGAATGTTGACGGAAGTTATCCAGGACTTGAGACGTAGTAATGGGTTTCCGTGTCTCAAGATTGCCAAGATGGTGAGATCCAGTAATCTTCAACTAGACTTTCTGATGGAGTTGTACTTTCTGTGATTGGGAAGAGTCCTTTTCTAGCATGAATCAAAAGAGGTTGGGTTGGAACCTCTTGGTGCAGTGAGTGTAAGATGGAAGATCTGTTTCACCTGTTTTTATAACTCTGCCTTTCAAATAAACAAATCTTAAACAAGTAGGAATTACATGTAGTTTTATTGATGTGATGAAGGACTCAGATTCCCC